TCGTGACCTATATCCACTCCTCCGATTCCTCTTCCGTCGAGGCCACCGGCATCCACTAACGATCTTCCATTACTAGGCGAAGATCAACCTCCTTCTTACACCCCTCTTCTCCTTTTACCGAGTTTAGGAGACAACCCTTACAAGTACTCACTCTCCTCTCTTAAACAGAATTCTAACACTTAAGCTAGAGGAGGGAAATTCTAGAGATTGCAGCAGCGCTTTCTCTCTTTTAATCTCTCTGTGCTTGTGTGTTTTACCCAGGGATAGGAGGGGTATTTATAGGCTCCAAACTAGTTTGAATTTGGAGCTCAAAAATGTCATTTCCCGGATTTCCGGGGTTCTGGCGGTACTACCTCCTGACTGGGGCGGTACAACCGCCTGACAAAGCTCGGAGACCGAGCTCTGGCGGTGCCACCGCCTGATAGAGGCGGTTGCACCACCCAGTCTCGCTCGGAGACTGAGCCCAGGCGGTGCCACCGCCCAGCTTTCTTGGGAGACCATCTCCTGGACGGTGCCACCGCCGACCCTGGTAGTGCCACCGCGAAATTCTGATCCAAATGGGTTGATCCATTCGGCCCAATTTGGATCTATCAAGGGCCCAATTGCCCCCAGATTAAGTTAATGGGATCACCTCCCATTCCTAACTTAATCTACATACTAACTACGATATTTCTTAAGACATTTACTGCCACTTGCTCCAGTGCATCAATCGCTTCTTCCGACGAACATCCGACGAACCTTTGGCGATGCTCCAACGGACTTCCGGCAAACTCCTGGACTTGCGACAATCCACTTGGCAAGTTCCGATAAGCTTCTTTGGCAAGCTCCTGAACTTCTCGGATTTGTTCCCGTAGAACTTCCGACGACCGTCCGGACTTCCGTCGAACTCTCGAACCCCCAACGTGATCATAGTCTTGACTCCGGCATAACTCCTACTGCATGTCTTACTTCCATCGTAGTTAATCCTGCACATGTAAAACAAAACTTCAATCGAGACAATTAATCCTAAACAATTAACCAAGTTGTCAGGCATGTCATTGGTCCCTCGACGCTTCGTCCGTGCATCGTCCTCTCCTGTGGCCTATTACTCAATCGGCCAGTTGACTCCGCAACTCTGATATCCTTGGCACAATACCCGCTCTTCTTGGCCCGATGCTCGAGTCCACGGCCCGAAGCCTTCTGTCGATACGTCGATCGATCCACCGGCCCGACGTCCAATCTTCTAACATGTTCCTCCGGCCCAATATGATTTTTCCTACTTTAATTGTCTCATCCTGATCGAAGCATCCTGCGTCACTCAAAACGTACATTAAAACATAAACACATATCAAGTGGTTTCATCATCAAAATACGAGATTCAATAAAAATACTTATTAATATTAATAGCATATAATGCAATAAAACTTCCTACTTAACATTTTCCATTCAAACAAAACTACAAATGCAAGCATCCGTCTACCATAAGAAAAAAAGGGAGTTGATACCGATACTCAAAATCTAGCCTATCTAGAAAGATGGTTACAGTGCCTTACTCCCTCTCTCTTATGTTGAGATGCTGATTAGTAGAAATTTAGTTGAAGTCCTTCATCCCCTCAGCAACACGAATCCGGTGTTCAGTCATTGACCTCATCGAACAGAAGAATCCTCTATGCCTTATGTATGCAGGTTACTTCATAAATCTGTCCCCCAATCCTGTCTTAGAATAAGAAAATGAATAACATTTTCATCAAAAAGTTAATGGTTGGGATTTCTGAATGACCAAAGTGGAACATTCACATAACTGAAAATGTGAAAAACAGAATAAATTCTCTAAATAACATTTCAAGAACATGTAACATGATAAGTACATGGTTATCTAATTTGTTGGAGGTAACAACATAAAAGAAAAGGACAGCATTTAGATTAGTCCTGACTCCTACTTCGAAGCAGTAAGACTAAATAAGACAACAAGCAGATATTATTAACTTCTCTAGAAATAGTTCGAAGCATTTATGGTATAAAGAAGCTTACAAGATAGTCTGCCTGATTACAGATGGGCTCCTTCCTCAGAGACATAATTAACTATTCTCATTATAAACAAACGAATATAACATGTAGCATTTGATTAATTGAGGATATAAAATTTCTAATACATGCAAACAAGTAGTTGTTTTTATACATCAACAACATTTAGCATTGAACATTTGATTATACAACAAAAACAACAACAACAACATTTAGCATTTGAAAATAGTTGTTTTTAGATTGAACTTTTTTATATTCTCTTCCTCCAGTGAAAGAAAGACTTCAAACGAGTGTAAAGGGGCATGAAATGCTCTGCCTGAAACTTCAAAAAGGAACATGCAAAATACATTTAAATGCTTTTTCCAGAGTGAATGATATGTCAAGCTAAGAAAACCTTGCGATAATGTTATAGTCATCTTTCTTAAAAGTAGTGTTCCTTTTTTTCCTTTCTCCCTTGGCATTACAAGAAATCAAGAAACCCTAATGAGGTTAATACCAGAAGATTTCAAATTAGGGTTAGTGGAATCGGTGGAAGAGACGAACACACACCTGTTTTGAGGCTGAGGAGATGGGCGATAGAGGCTTCGGCGTGCTGCTGGACGAACTTAATCATCTCGTTGGCCAAGAACTTAATCATCTCATCCACCGATGCTTCCTCCACAAACGAAAAAGGGAAAGAAGGAAAGGAAAACATCAGCTACTCCGCCAATCTAAAGCCCAACATATTGGACCCTATCACGGAATAGAGGATTTGATAGGGAGAGAGTGAGATATAAGGAAAGAAAGGGAGAAAATAAGATCGTTACCGACCAACAAGAAGCCATCAAGCCATGAGGAATCTTGCCACCGCCGAAAGAATCAATCAGCAAGAAAACAATCAAGAAGCCGGAACAAACCAAGAAATAGCTGAAGCGCGGGTGTAAAAGAGAAAGGAGAGATTGGAGGGGAAGCCATCGCGCGTGGAGGATCCACGAGGCACCTTGCCATCGTCGGAAGAAATCCGGCGCCAATCCAAGAAAAAGAGAGAGAGAGAGAGAGAGAGATGACGACGACGGCAAGCTGTTTGTTATAATAACCAACCGTTGGTGATACTGTTGAGTTCTCTCAAATGGTTGACTAATCGAAGGCGTTTTCTATTATTAAACAGAAAAAGCCGCATACGGATTCGGATCTTTTCTCCCATTTGTGCGGGTCCGACCCTCTTCAACGAACCAGCGTCGGATTCGCTGTAAAGCTGACAAAGCAATGCGTCCCAATTCAAGAATCCAATCACGCTGCCTCCGTACCGACCTCCCGAAGAGAACAAAAGCTCACCTACCCTCCCCTGTCCACGTTTCGCGGCCTCAAGGGGGACAGCGAACGCGCGGCCGCATGCAGCAGGCGAGCTCGTCACGCCAGCCTCCTTGAACCACGACAAGCATAACGAGAGAGGGTGAGGCGAGAGCTGTCCTCCGAGGTGGTGGGCAGTCATGGGCAGGCTGCTCTCCAAGATCCGGGAGGAGTCGAAGCAGACATGGAGCCTGGCGGGGCCGGCGATACTCACGGGGACGTTCCAGTTCTCCATCGCCACGGTCACGGCCGCCTTCGTCGGCCGCCTGGGCGCCCTTCAGCTTTCCGCGGTCTCCGTCGCTCAGGGCGTCATCGCTGGCTTCGCCTACGGTGCCATGGTAATCAAATTTATAGCATGAAATTGTTAGATTGCGTCCGAACTACAGAGTGAAGAGTGGCAATCTAATTAAGGACAACATATTGAAATCTCAACGCAGCCCTTTTCCTTTTTCTCTGTAGCTGGGCATGGGAAGTGCCTTGGAGACTCTCTGCGGTCAGGCTGTCGGTGCCGGGCAATTTCATATGCTGGGAATTTACATGCAGAGATCGTGGGTCATCTCAGCGGCAACGGCGATGGTTCTGACACCACTTTATGTGTTTGCCACACCCATCTTGAGGCTATTGCATCAGTCCAAAGACATCTCAGAAGTAGCCGGCAAATACTGTGGATGGATCGTACCTCAGCTATACGCTTATGCAGTGAATTTTCCTCTGCAGAAGTTCTTCCAATCACAGAGCAAGGTCTGGGTCGTAACGCTAGTTTCCGGGGCAGTTCTCGGCGTCCATGCCTTGCTGAACTGGGTTTTCGTATCCAAACTTGGTCATGGATTGCTGGGTGCTGCGATGGTCGAGAACGTCTCATGGTGGCTCATAAACTTGGCTCAGATGATCTATCTATTGGCTGGCTTCTTCCCGGAATCATGGAGAGGATTCTCGCTATCGGCATTCCAAAACCTGGGTGCCTTTGGAAAACTTTCGCTTGCGTCGGCTATAATGCTGTGGTGGGTACTTCAATCTGAATTCTGAGATAATGCCGTGATGAGAGTCTTAATTTCACTTCGTTGTATGACAGTTTGGAGCTCTGGTATTACACTGCAGTGGTCATCTTGGTGGGTTGCTTAAAGAATCCAGAGATCGCGGTTGGTGCTATTTCTATCTGGTTAGCAGTTCTTCCTTTTTCTTGTTGATCGGTAAGAAGAACCAAACCCTGAGCGATAATTGTTTGTTCGATCGGGCAGCATGAACTATGAAGCATGGACTTTGATGGTTGCTCTGGGTTTCAATGCCGCAGTGAGGTAGGCATCTTCTACCCATCTTGTTCAGACATCTGCTGGCATGAGCTAAAATTTCTTGTTTCTTTCTGTGTTCATTCATCGGTGTGCGAGTATCGAACGAACTCGGAGCGAATCATCCGAAAGCAGCAAAGTTCTCTGTAGTCATCGCCGTTGCCACATCGGTCTTGATTGGGATCTTCTTTACGGCGGTAGTTCTCATCTTCCGGAAGCGACTGGCGGAGCTGTTCACGGATGTCCCTGAGTTGATCAGGGAGACATCCAAGCTAGGATATCTTCTCGGTGCCACGATTCTTCTGAACAGCATGCAACCTGTGCTCTCAGGTATCTCGTCTCAACGATGCAGCAAAACAAAACTAGAATTCATCGACGTCGCGGGTCACGAATGAGATTGTTGCGATCGGCAGGAGTGTCGATAGGAGCAGGTTGGCAAACCCTGGTTGCCTTCGTGAACACAGCGTGCTATTACCTTTTCGGATTGCCTATCGGTGCTGTTCTTGGATTCAAGCTTGAGCTCGATGAACTGGTAAGAGACAGTAATGAATGAGCTTGGCATTTGCAAGCTGACAACGTATGGATCGTAGGAACTCATTCGGCGATTTGTTGTGCAGGGCATCTGGACTGGGATGTTGATCGGGACGGCGGCGCAGACCGGTGTTCTGCTGCTGATCACAGCCAGAACTAAATGGCAGAAAGAGGTGAGGTTTTGGAAGCTTGAATTAAAGATTGAGCTCACGATGCCCTTTGGAATCCCGAATGAATTAATAACCCAAATTGCTTTACCAAATCATATTTGTGATGAATAAAGACGAGAAGAAAAAGATCGACATACAGCAAAGTTCGATGTGGCTTGAATTCAGCAAAGTTTGCTTCAGATTTGAGGTGCTATTGCGCAGGCCATGCAGGCAGAAGAGCGAGTGAGGACGTGGGGAGGAGGAGGAATTGAGCCTCGAGTCCCTACGCAATGATGCAGAGACTCCATACATGAGGAGGATCTCTCGATGAACCGAACCTGGAAGGATCTGTCTGCTAGAAGAACCAAGGCATGCATGCCACATCGAACTGAGATGCTGTAATCGATCGAGAAGAAGAAATGTTTAATATATATTAGATGTCAAGAATAATTCCAACGACAAATATGACATCATCTTCGGCCATTTAATATGCAAACAAGACGGATTTATTTATGCATTTTCTTTCATTTTGATTTATATTAAGTGTTTTTGGAGCCGAGTTTTCGGTTTTGATTAGGTAATGACAAGATGGTTGATGGGATCAAAACACCAATGATTAAACCGAAAAGGTAGATAGCACACGATGACATATTGGTTTGGGTAGGAAAGAAGCAACCTACCGTTCATTCCCTTTCGAGTAGCTAAGAACTTTGGCGATGATGGGAGTTCCCACAGCCCCACTCCAAGGATCTATATATTCTCCGCCCACATTCCACTTGTTCTGTAAAGGCATCACCGGTCATGGCTATCTACCCATTCTTTTTCCTCTCAGGAAGCTCCCGCGAACTTTCCTCGCATTCAAAGATGTCGAGATGACTTGTCCGGCATCGCAACTTGTACGCTACTCTCTCTTCTTTTATGCCCCTTCCCAGCGTCACACTATGTTCCCCCTCAGCATACTTATCCTGCAATAGTCTTCTCCCTCCCCCTCCATAAGACTCTCACGGTACTCGCCATGGCCAGCGTGGTCATGTCCAAAGCAGCCAGATGGTTCTCCCCCAAACGATCCAAGCTGAGCCTCCCCGCGGATGCGCCGCCCGCTCCCGGGGGAAGAGATAGGATGGAGGTCCTGTGGGAGGTGTTTCGGCACTTCGATCAGGACAGAGATGGGAGGATCTCCTGCAACGAGCTCAGGGCCTCCTTCGTGTCGATAGGGGAGGAGATGCCGGTGGCGGCGGCGGAGGCGGCCATCGCGGACCTTGACTCGGACGGGGACCGGTTGTTGGACTTCGAAGACTTCGTGAGGTTGATGGAGGAGAGGGGGGGAGGGAAGGCGGCGGAGGAGGGGGAGGAGGAGGAGCTGAGGAAGGCGTTCGAGATGTTTGAGGCGGTGAAGGGGTCGGGGAGGATCACGCCGCGGGGGTTGCAGCGGATGCTGAGCCGGCTGGGGGACGAGAGGTCGATGGAGGAGTGCAAGGCCATGATCCGAGCCTACGACCTCGACGGAGACGGCGAACTCGACTTCCATGAGTTCCACCAGATGATGAACTAGAGACGATCACTCGAGCACGTCGCTGCATGGATGCATGCATGCAGGCTAAACAGAGTAATAATACATACACATGTTTGAAGCCTGTGATTTGAATTTGAGTTTGCCTGCTACACATCACTGCGAAACGCCGGTTAGGTACCGGAAAACATGTTTATGGTGATTAGGGTTAGAATCGAATGATTTCATTTTGTGAAGAATGAAGCTTGTTGGGGACATAAAGGTTGTGTGTGTTCATTTCCTCATATGCCGTGTATGTAAACCCAAATGGTATATGATGAAGATCTAAGTACTTTTGAAGCACACTTGTTTTACCTGCTCTGGAAAAGGAGAAATAGGAGGTATAAGAGCCATCATCATCACAGCATGCCTGCACACACAACTCTATTGAATGTAATCTTCTGGGCAATGTCAGAGGCCATCAACACATGTTCATAGACTATTGGGTTGGATTATATAAATGGACTTCCAGGTCTTCATCACCTTCGTTCATCATTAGTATCGATCAAGTTGCTTCCAATCAAAGTTCTGAGTTGGGATGTAAAGAACCACTTGTATTCAATTTGGGGGTAATGGTTGTAAGCACTACATACTGAAAAGGGCTTTCATAAGGGATGTATGTTAGTTACAAGTACTCACCATCATCCCCTCACCTCTGATAAATAATCTGTCCATCTAGTTCGTGAGTTAATGGCAGTTCTTCAAGTAACTAAAAAAATTAAAAGAATAATCAGACACTTTTACCATTCAGGGTGGATTATTTGGCTTTGTTGTGGGTGCTGGTTGATTGCAAATCACCTGCAAAATGCAGAAACTGTGAACTTAGGACAATCAAAACCTTGAAAACACCAGGAACCATCAGTTTTCTCAACAAAATTTTCATGCACCAACCAGAGATTTTGTCCAGTGAATCCAAGCTGGTTTCAGATACTACAACACATATATTAAACATTTGATTTCAAATCATTATTTGGTTTTGAAACATCATATAGGAACCTGTAAATATATTGCCAACCCATGGGTTTTGGTGTAGATATAAATCTAAGACAGTTGCAAGATTCATTAAAGAATAATTCAAGAGATGAAAGGAAGAATAGTCTATAAACATCAGCAGATGATGTGATAATATCCATAGTTCTCAAGAAATATAGTGATGGATATGTCAGAATGAGCCAAGCTGGTTGCCGCCAGTACTTGACAAAAACATTCAATTATGAATATTCCTAAACACAAACTTGTAGATGCATTCATTTATGTTTGACCTTAATAAATAAAAAAATGACACAATGTTCTATTGCTTCTCATCCTTGGGAATGTCTTTTTCTGGAACCTAAGAATCCAACTTCTTGAGCGCTGATCGATCCATAGATGTGTGAAAGAAATCAGAAATTGAGCAGATTTAGATGTGAAATCCGCTGCAGAAAGCAACTATCTACAACAGAGGTCCACTAAGCATCAGAGGCTCCCATACCTTTGCATTCGTCATGCACAGACACATGACAAGAAAGAGAAGAATAATAGGCAACACTAACTACTTCAATTTTTATGGGTCATACCAACAGATTTTATAGTAAAAAAAAAAATCTTGTAACCTAACTGGTATAGCATATATGCATGGCAAACATCAAAAACATGATCTGCTTCAAACCAGTCCTTGTGCAACCAGTGTCATAGACACTAAATGCACGTGTTTTTTTTTCTTCTTTTCATTTTCAGAAGATATCATATGAGACTAAACCCTGCAAGAATTCTCCCCTGCAATAGTGAAGCTAAGTGCACACTTCATATTTATATAGTTTTTGAGCAATCACATATTGCTGCAAACAGTAAATGGAGAAACATGATTTCTCCAACTATGCTTACCAACATTGGCAAGGCCTAGAACTGCTATCCGTAAGATAGAACCAACATCACCAAATTTGCAAATCATACTTAGGCTACACTAAAAGTACCTATGTGTCTGGATAGCTCTAGGATGAAAAAGCAATTAATAATGTAAGGCCTGCAGTCTCTACCACACAACTTGAAACAATCTGCATGTCACTGAGGCAACAAAGGCTAGACCTGAATAGCCATTAACTACCAAATGAATGTGGGAATATTAAAATTGCACAGCATAAGAAATGCTAAAATGAGACTAACAGCTAAGTAACTTGGCAACAGAGAAAATTCCACAGCATAAGAAAAGATTCTAATTTCATTAATAACACTAGTACGTTACAAAGTTTTAAAATCTTTACTAGTCTTAAGCTTGTTTGATAAAGTTCGAGCATTTACTCAATGAAAAGATGCCTATCATGGCTGAGATTGGTTCATATTCAGGTAGGTGTCCGTTTGATCCAGCTTCCTTCAGGTCCTGCTCAGATATTCAGTAGGTCAAGTTCTAATTATGATACACGCACACAAACTTGTCGAAGGGCTTCAAATACTACATAAAATAAAAGAAACTTCTATTCGGCGTACATGACGCTCATACGTGAACTTGAAACTGAGACCTATCACTTGTGCAACATTGTACTGGCGTGCATGACGCTTATACATGGACTCAAACGTGATATCTATCTCTTGATCTTTATTAAAAAAAATACATATTGATGTCCAAATTCTAAAAATTCCCATTCCAAAAACTTGTAGACGATAGGCTTATAAATGCAGGACATAACCATGCAGAAGTAGCGAGGTTAGCAGCATTCCCTTAAAAAGTCAAAAATTAGAAACTACACAAACAATGCTAAATCTGACAAGGAATATAGTCAAACATAAATCGTGTGAATCATACGTGACTAACAACCAGTATCAGTCAGGTAAATAGTTAAGAAAATACCGAGGTGGCCATGCACAATACTACTTCCTGTTTGCAGCAATTTTGCACGAAAACAATAAGAACTACAGGAATGTAGATAGCCTAGCATATGTTACATATTTAGGAGCATTCCAAGGGAACAGCATTCCCCAATTAAGAAAAAGGCATCTTTCATATGGCATCCATCTCTTTTTGCTTTTCTACAATTTTTTACTCATTTTGTTTTCCAACTGTCCATCTTCATACGGCAATTCAAAAATATTAATCACTGCTAGGGCATGAACAACTACGGGTAACACAGAGTTATGGTACTATAACTTCTTTTAGCTTCAACAGACTTGTTGACAACCTGGAAAACTGGATAATGATCTCATCAAACATGATGTGTGCCAACAATTTAAATTCCGTTCCATCATTTGCACCCTTTTTTTTTTTTCTCAGAGAATCTTATCTCATGTGTAACTAAAGTAATAATCAGGTCACTATAGAAGTTGTCACAAACTGAAGTCGCAGCACAAAATCCCTAAACAGTGATCAACAGAAGAACCTGAATTATTTGGGCATAAAATAAGCCAACATCACCAATTGCAGATCCTGCACATCAAGAATGTACAGAATAGGCATCAAATCCACTTACGACTTCCATAACATTATAAATCTGTGATTCCGCAGAAGTTAAAGTTTAGGAGAAACAGTAACATTATGGAGAGCATAGGATACTTCATCGAGAAAGGAGGACGGTTTGGTGAGCGTACTTGGAGGCAGAGGCGGACTCTTCTTCGAGCCAGTGTCAGGCGTGGCGGAGAATGGCCGCGGACCGCTTGACGTCCCCGGGGAGGAGGATGGTGGCGCCGACGCCCACCACCGTCACGATGAAGCTGCTCAGCGCCATCTCCAAACCGAAACCCTAAACCATCTCCGCTACGGGAGACGAGAGGATGAGAAGGGCGAAGTAGAAACAGCGCGCCATCATGTCAATAGAGGTTGTTTTCATGTGTATTAATTTTGCACATTCCAATATTTTCCTAAGTTTTGCAAATTTTATTTTCACGGCATTAAAAATATTATATTATTCAAAAATAAATGGAAGAAGTAAAAAAAAAAAAAAAAAGTGGCTAACAATTCAATTGGCTCATCCCGAACTTATATTTATAATATAGGTGTGATAAAAAAAATAAAAATAGTGATGTAGAAGTCCTGAGAGTGTCGTAAGTTCGTATTGATAGTATCAATACGATAGTTCAAAAAATGAGTGATGGATAACTCTCGAGCGTTGAGTACAAATTCATTTAACCTTTATTTGAGAGGTTATAAGAGACTTAGATGTCTAATATTTTATACTGCACTATAGCATACAAATAACATGTAAAATTATATTATTTTGTAATAGTTTTATCCATTCTAATAAGTCATCACAGTATAACTTATAATTAACATCTCCCTACAATAACGGTGAAAACCTTGACTCCGCAAAAATCTTTTTTGACCACAAAATATTTTCCTTGTTGTCAAATTGGAATGTCGATCCATTTACTAAAGTTAAGCATGTAATGTAGGGTTTCCATGTCAATTGATTGTATCTTGGATTTAGCTAAAATTAGTTGATGTCAATGTGGATGGCCATTGTCGTCTATGAGGGATCAATCATTGTAATTACCAACCTAAAGTTCCTAGTAACACTCAGTATCGGTTCTTATAGGTGCCCTACAAAGTATTGGATTTTGAGCTATTAAACCGTCGAAGGGAATGACTATATGTAATATTTGAATTCCTAATAAGGTTTGAGAATTCAAAATCATCAAAGAGATGTTAATATTATTTAGATTTGCATCATCCCTCGTAAATCTTGAGGGATGTAATCGTTAGAGACATACTTTAGATCAAATATCAAGTTTTCATGTCTCTCCGTTGAAATTATACCTAATATGATCAAGTTAACTATTACGAACACATCCCAAGTGAAATGTAAGATGTGATAATAAGAGAGACAAAAACTTCAATCATATCGGGAGAAACTCTTATTTATATTTTGAGATCCCTAACTACTTGATGTGTTATCTTTGACTTAAAAAATATTTTTTTATTATGATTGACATGACAAATCTAATCAAATTGTTTTGTCAATAAAATAGTAGATATGTGTTAAGTCTCAATAGGACAACGACAATCTTCAAATCAAAGGGTTTTTATAATATTTATGAATGTAACATAAATAAATGAACCATAAATAAATATTTATTTTATTTATAAATATTCCTAAATATTTAGGCCTTCCATACATATATATACATTCCTTAAAGTGCCTAACTTCCATATATGTATATATATCACTATTATTAGCATTAAATAAACTCATGCTAATTATTATTCATCACAATTATTGGAGAGATTTTTTTAAAAAAATAAAATTTAAAATACTTAAAAGTATCCTTTTAACACTTTCATCAAATAAAGGAGAAAACAAAATTAATTTATTCTATGGGCATATATAATATATTAATTGGACACTAATGTTATTTGGATTTTCAAAATCATTATCTGAAGAGTCAATCATACTGAAATCTATAAAAACAGATGCACAAAACTTCAATTTAGACGAAAAAATTGCGTAAATAATATATATATATATATATATATATTAAGATGAATAATATATATATATATATATATATATATATATATATTACTTTTATTTTATTTTATTGTTCCTATTTAAGGACTCTCTCTCTCTCTCTCTCTTGCATGGCTAATGATGCAAGATAAGGTAAGCTGTGTTACGAAGGAAGGAGTCGAAGAAAACCTTATTACAATTAAAGGACGAAGAAACCTGAAATGATCTTTTAATTAACTATAAAACATGTTTTCTAATCGCCCTAATATTAACTCCCAATTGGCTGCGATTCCCATATCCCATTCCGCAGTAGGGACTGTTACATCTCCGACTTCCCCCCGTTTCCTCCGCAACGATCCCCGCATCGGCTTTCCCGCGATCTCATGGACGACGACGACTACTACTTCGATGAGAGCGATGGCGACTACGGCGGGAGCTCTTACTCCCTCGAGGAGTATCACGGTGATGATCTCAATGATATCCTGGTGGAAGAGCCCATCGAAAAGATCTGGACCACTGCCTCGGTAAAAAGATCCTCCTCCCTTACTCCTTCTCGTTAACGGCTTTTTTGCTCCGACGATGAGGGTTTCTTCCCGTCTGGAAACGGTTTTGATCTTCTTGTTTTCTTGATGTCTCTGGAGATTGCCTTCTTGTTGGTTCTGACTTCAATTTCTTTGTCCGTTCATCGCCGGCAAATTATAGGTCATCTCAGCGGAGTCTCTTCTGGCCGCACAGGTAATCTCCCGTTATAGTTCTGGCTATGGTTGCTCGTTGTACTTGTAAAGTGGAGGGGGAAGTTGACTAATCTACCGTCGAACTTTGTTTTCCTCAGAAGGAAGTTCTGCAGAACGTGATGAGCTTGTTGCTCATAAACGAGCAGCAGGCCAGGTCGTTGCTCATCTATTACCGGTGGAATGTGCAGAAGGTGTACGACTCTTTTGAACGGAAGGGCAAAGAACCGTTGTTCCAGGAAGCAGGGGTGGTCATTTCGGACGACAGAGACCTTGACATCTTGGGGTCGTCGACCGCCGTAATCACCTGTAACGTCTGTTTCGAAGATGTCGCCGTCCTCGATGCCACAAAGATGGACTGCGGACACTTGTTTTGTAACGACTGTGAGTTCTCTTCTTTGGTTCTAACTGGATTGTTATAATCGGCTTTACAAGACTATTGCTCATAAACATGACCTGAATCGAGACTAAGGAATGGGCCGAACATTCACATATAACGAGATTGGTCATTCAGAAGGTACCGAGGTTAAAAAAGTTAAAGCAGTTGCCTTGCCAAATTCTTCATTGAACTCTTTCGCTTATAACCACCTAGTTTTGAAGCTAGAATTCTCATAACCAGGATCCAGAATTCAGATTTAAGGAATAAAATGAACATTCATGTATACTGAGATTGGACTTTCAAAAGATAGTGAGGTCATAGAAAGGTGAAGCACTAAACTTTCTGAATTCGTTCAAAAGAAACAAGAGCAAGCAAGGTGAACGAAGTATTGATTAGGATGAAAGCTGTTAAGAAAGTACTAGTTTACTGTATCTTTTTTCAAGTATGTGAGTTCTTAGGATATCAATGAATTGACCTGAGTAAGTAGTTTGTCATGCAAAACTTCAAAATTATTCCTTTTACTCCTAGATCCTTTCTTGAGCTTCCACTTAGTTTACATTGGATGACATTATGCATAGCTGGTCTAACTCAAATGTTAAAAGTCTAATATTGTACTTGTAAAATTACTCTGTTTTTTATCAACACCTGTTATTCATAAAATAGTTTTATTGTTTGATTCTTTAGTTGCACAGTGCAGGATTTTGAACCTTCGTCTTAGTTTAACTTGTAACATTGTTATCCTTACCGCCTACTGTTCTTTCTGTGCTTGCTTCCTTTTTTATTTTTGCCTAGGTTGGACACAGAATTTTATCATCAGGATAAAAGATGGGGAAAGGACCATTAGGTGCATGGACACAAAATGCAATGCTATTTGTGATGATGTCATTATTCGTAATCTAGTAAGCCGAAAGGACCCATGTCTTGCCGAACGCTTCGAGAGATTTCTTCTTGAATCTTATGTGGAAGATAATGACAACATCAAATGGTGCCCCAGTAATCCACACTGTGGAAATGCAATACGAGTCGATGGAAGTAATGTTTTTGAGGTTGAGTGCATATGTGGGTTCCAGTTTTGTTTTAATTGCTCGCTTGAAGCACACTCACCATGTTCGTGCCAGATGTGGAAACTTTGGGTCCAGAAATGCGGTGACGAATCAGGGAATACAGACTGGATCATGGTTAACACGAAGCCCTGCCCCAAGTGCAACAAGCTCGTTGAAAAGAATGGTGGCTGTAACTTGGTCAGATGTAGATGTGACCAACATTTCTGGTAAGATCTCTTCCTACGAAATTTTATTTTGATGGAGAAAAGTTTTGGTTAGCCCACTTCATTTTCATAAATGGCATGTTAGATTGCAGCTAGGATTATACTTGTAACAGTGAAAAATGTTTGCTCTGATTCAAAGGTTGCCTAGATATCAGTAATGAACTTTCTTTTTCTCTTTGATAACCCACTGCTGATTTGAGCACTGATTTTTAACTAAATCCTGGATCGGTTCAAGTCAACCCAAAACACCAAAACCAAACACATGACTGATTTCAACTCTTAATTGTGTAGACATTTCTTACTTCTTCCTCGTTAGCAATTGAATTTCTCGTATATTTGAAGCTCATTCGTTTGACTAAACTGTAAAATGATTAAAACGTATACGTACATTTCCATGGAAGTTTTATATTCTTTGTGAAACCAATTGATCCTCCTTAACCTATATGTCGATGGATTGGTGATATCATGAGAATTTTTATGAGGGGTTTTTGATATAGCAACAAGGGAAAGAAAATGAGAAGTTGGTGCACCATGAATCCTGAATTACTATGTTGGAGCTCTAGTATCTGAATATATTTGTCTGTTTGTTTGCTAATTCAAGAAAATCACTACCTTCCTGATCAAAGACAAAAATATTAGCTCTTTGTAATTCTTCTTTTACCTTGTTTGTTTTGGATTATGGTTGCTAGCATCGGCTTCAGAACATTTTCACTGTAGATGATAATCTTAATGCCATGATGATAATCTGATCATATTTTTCCTTATTTCTTTGATATTCTTTGGATATTCTTTTTTGTGGATGTATGCAGTTGGTTATGTGGTGGTGCTTGTGGGGCAGAACATACGTGGAGCACAATAACTGGCCATACTTGTAACAGTTTTACACGAGAAAAAGAAATGAGTTATTTGGCTGTGAAGCAAAGACTACAACGTTACATGCATTATTACAATCGATATATGACTCATGCGGATTCACTAAAGAAGGAAAATACTCTTAACGAAAATATCCAAAGAAAAATATCTGAATCAGAAAACAAGAACTCTATGATCAAAGATTACAGCTGGGTGCTGGAGGGATCACGACAACTCCTCAGGTCAAGACGTGTCCTTAAATACACATATCCATTGGCATTCTACGTATTTGGGGACGAACTTTTTAAGGATAAGATGACACCGGAGGAGAAGGAAATAAAGCAGCATCTATTTGAAGACCTGCAACAGCAGCTGGAAACCAATGTGGAGAGGCTCTCTATGTACATAGAGAAGGATTTTTATGATTTCAACGATGAGCAGGTTATCCAATTAAAGTATCAAGTTGTCAATTTGAATAGGGTCGTGAATAAATTTTGTGGTCAGATGTAAGTTTACTTTCTCCCTTTACTAGTTGTTGTTGATTAACCAGTGAATAATGTGTGCTTCCGTACTTATGCTTCAACCCTTGCAGGTACAAATATATCGAAGATGACTTGCTTGAACCCATGAAACATGCTGTTCACCGCATTGCTCCTTACAGTTCTGGTGGTCCCAATATGTTGTTGCAACCCTCTTCTTCTTCTTCTGGGAATTCTGGACATAGCTAGGGAGTCATGAAAGCCAACTAACATGACAGATCGAGACGTAGGATTTAACTACTAATGGTGCTGGTGAAGGTTTTTTCATTAGAGCTACTTGTAGATGTATAGCTTCATAGGATGTATAACTACACCTTCATTGATTTGTGTATAGAATAGAGAAGATTTTGTTCATGCAAACCTAGGATGACTCTGGAGATCATTCTTTCTTTTGCACCAGTTGAACCAAATCTATAACAGCTGAATGTTAGATTTCAACTTGCATTTACTATAGCAGAAAGCTATCACGAGTACTTTTACTTGAATATAACTATATATATATATATATATATATATATATATATATATATATATATATATATATATATAATATGGTATAACTTATTTCGTTTTTTATCAATGTGACTAACGACATCATGATAAATAAAATTATTTATTTATTTTTAAATTATAAGGATCTGATTATAAATTTTTTAAGTACAAAAATTAAGAAGCTAATATATCTAAAATATAAGGGGTAAAATTTCAAAATATTATATTATATATATATTTTTTAAACCTCTGCACGTGGTATCACGTGTCGAATCAACGATTGAGTTGAGGGCAAGATCGTCATTTCGACCGTTCTTGTTCGCTCCGACGATCAAGGGAACGCTCGCCCTCCTCCTGGTGTCCGCGATTGCCCGCCTCGCTGATCTCTTCGATATTAGACGCGTGGACGCCACCGGCGCGGGCTTAGTGGCGGAATCATTGCCTGGGTCATCCGCCTCACCGTTGCCTCCGACGACTCCGAAGACCTCGTGTTCCGACAGGCGCCGCCGTTCCACAATGCCGCAGAGTGCGAACCTCCGTCGGTGAACGGGGCCTCGGCCAACGGCGTCGTGGGCTGCCAGTCGCTCCCGCCGCGCCAACCACGGCGGGGCCGGCTGATGCCACACTCAGGTGCCACAGCGCCCGCCGCCTCCTCCAGGTGGGGGCGCCCGCGGAGTCGACGCCTGCGTCGTGACCTTCACTGTCAACTGGCTCAGCGTGCTCAATGCCATCGCAGGCGCGTACAGCGAGAACCTCTCCGTTGTCTGCATCGTCGGCGGGCACAAGTCCAACGACTACGGCACGAACCGCATCCTCCTCCGCCGCAGGGTGTTCACCGACGGCCACAAATCAGGACAGGTTTGTTGCCCTTAATTTAATAGACGAAATGACTGTCTTTCCCTTAACTTAATCTTCAATTAGGTATTTGTTCAAAATCATTTTATTTCTTATCTTAGATGTATTCATCATCAACAACAACAACAACAACAACAACAACAAGAAGATCCTAAATCTTAATTATTTAGGATCGATTACATGAATCTTTTATCGTCGAAGATGTGAGATTAGAAATAGTTGCTGCTCGAATTTTGATAGCTGACATTGTCGGAGCACTAAAATGGTTATTTTGTTCAGCATTGTTTCTGCTGTGAAATAGTTGCTGACAATTAATAGTTGCTTTGTTGGTAGCAGTCAATTAATATTTGTAGAATGTATGGTGTTAGATTAGTCTTCAAGCCTGATCTAATTGTTTCTTCTTCTTCTTCCCTCCTCGAAGACTTAATCGAGTCTTAATAATAGTGAAGGAGAGTGATTCTGGCAATCTTAAGCCTGTGATTAGCTTGAATAGTATTTTGTTTTGTTCATCATGTGGGGACTAAAACACTGCTATTTAATCTCATGGCAGCTGACTCCGATCTTTCTTTTGGTCCTCGGAGAAGATGATTTGAGATTCTCTTGGCATTTGACCTTCAACTAAAGACACGAACAGCTACAGAAGCCTTTCGCATGACGATCTCAAATCGCAAAAGCTTCGCTCGAAACAGCTGCTCCTCCATGTGCTCTCTCGGTATCGAAGAAAGTTCCACTACCACATACATGAAACTACGAGCATGCTTGCCAGGCTTTTGGACTCATATCACTTTCGATCATGTAGCTGTTTGCTTGCATCACGTTTGGTTCTTTCAATGGTTTTCCCACCTACAGATAGGCTTTCTCCACTTGGGAGACAAGACTTGAAACAAAAGCTACCCTGTTCTCTGCAGTATGTGCTCTAATCTTTATCTAAGCTTTGCACTGGAAGGCTCCACATTAGAGTCATTGCACTCATTGCTTCTCATGATCTAATTATCTACTTTTAACTTTTCTGTGATTTAGCAGGTCTCAACAGAATCACCTCATACTTGTTAAGCGATTGCAGGAGATTTGTGGAGGCATAAATATAATAGTGATGGGTTATGTTCTTCACGTCCAATAAGCAAGCTTTTGCTTCTCCCCTGCAACACAAGGAGGAGGTCCATTCTCTTAGATCTTCATCCCTGCCATGCTCCAATTGTCAAGGAAGAAATGCGGTGATTTATGTTGCGTACAACATGTCAGCTGCCAGAAAGATTCAAGTCTGAGAGCAATAAATTTAGAGCTTAATGGTTGCAATGCCAACAGTTTGTTTGGCTGTGGAAGGAACAGCTCAAAACTTTTGCAGCACAGGAAATGGTTGCATAGAATATACATCGGCTCCTGTTCTATTCTCGGGGTCTACTCTGGCTTGCATAGAATACTCTCGGTGGTGCAAAGCTGCAGGTTGGTTGATGACAGCAGGACTTCAGCCCCCTTGTTTCTGCTTGCCATGCCCATGGGACTCAAGAAAAGGTGAGTCTTTTTCCCATCACCAGAGGAAAAAGGTGGGTGTGGGTACTGACCACCTTGCCCCACACTGTCTCTTTAATTGGTACCAGAAAACACCAGAAACCTACCAAAATCATTTAAGAAAGCTGATTCTTTGACAAGCATTAGGCTGCTTGGGACAGAGGACAACAAAGGTATCTTAAGCTTCTTTCGAGATGATTTATCCAAAACAAGGGGAAAACCCCAGTAGTGCTAGTTTCATTTGAAGTAACCACTGCCACTATACCCCTCACTTTCATCCCTTTTGAGGCTTTGCTCATCTTTGGTAATCCCCATTTTAAATGATCTTTACATTCTCCTTTTTGTCCTTTCTGCTGAGAAACCTTGCTCAAGACCAGTTCTATCTTGTCTCTTATCCATTTCTATCAAGAGCACCTGCTTCATGCTGCTGGAAAATTTGAATTGGTGCACAAATTTTGAGTGCTATCTCGAGACATGCTAATGCTCTAATTTCTAGTCAAGCAAGTGTCAGTAAAAAAGGGACTTGATTCAGTGTATGAACAATGTTGGTGTGCCAGGCATGTGAAGATCATGTTTATCCCCACAAACATAATCAATCAATCCATACAAATTAATTTGACTTGGTTTTATTTAAATAATGCCTCAATAAATGAGTTTGAGAAAGGTAATGTGCATCTGATCTCTGAAGGACCACCAGTTGTTGTTGTGTCAGGATTGAGGAAAGGCAAAAAAAGGAAAAAAAAATGTGAGAAGAACTTTGACATTTATTGCTCTTGTATGACTCCCAAGAAAGAGGTCTACCATTCATTATTTTATGTCTGTGAGTGGCATAGGTCAAGGTGTGTCTGTGGGGTTGGTTGGGAGCCTTCTTTAAAGTGGCTCTTCCTGCCTTTGGCTGAAACCTTCCAAATTGGTTGTTTTATTGTTTGGCCTGTGTTGCATGCTGCTTTCCGCAGTGGAGGAACTGTGGTACTTGGTGGGAGCTGGAGATACCTGTAGACCCATTTGGCCATTGCTGTCACTGGCTTTGCTTCTTTTCAGATACCCATAGAGGTAAGAAGTAGGATCTGCTTGCTCTGAAAGAGTGAAGACTCATGGCCTTCTCGGTGCCATCTTTTCTTTTCATGCCTTCTCTGATAAATGCTTCTTACTCTGTGTTTCAGCCGCTTCTCTAAGGATCTACGCTCATGGAGTCTGAGGGGAAGCATGACATCCAAATGCAGGGTGTGAAATGCCAAACCCATTTCTTGGACAAAATGCATTCCCGCAAGATATCTTCTGGGCACAAGCGCTCCAAGAGGTAGCTGATCTCCTTCCCAAAACTACCGTTTCTATCTTGTCATCGTGCAACTGGTTCTTGATGGACCCATAGATCTTTGTCGAGAGCTGTGGTTATATTAGAGCTGCAGAATATCGGCACTCATTTCTGGAACCATTTCTCCTTGTCACTGCTGATCTTTGATTTCAGTGACTCCGAGAAGAGAAACAACGAAGATATATTGGACTCTTCGGCTAAACCAGTTCATCATGCTAAGCCGGTAAAGCTCGTCTCCTCTCGTTTGCTCCTCTCAGATTCCAGGATCTCGTAGCGATCTTGTGGTTCTTAAATGACTGGAACAGTTTAACCTCTCATGGATTTCTCTGTTTTCTGTTTCTAATCTTTTTGTCGAAAGTTCGGTCTTTTGTTATGATCCATAAGTCAATCTTGCATACATGAGTAATCTGATAAGGTCATAGATTTTTGCTTGACTCTTTTTAGCTCTTTTATACACCAGTTATGCATTCAGCAGCAGACTATCTTTCATCTGCTTCGTTCGACTTAGGGAAGCACTTAATCTGTGTTTCTTTGATTCAAGGTTAATGGAAAGCCTACTGGCGACGGTGAGATCCACGATAAGCAATCGCCTGGCGCTAAGGTCCAAATATCACTGAAACAAGAGGTACTTAGATCTGTTCCATTTTATTACCACAAATGTGGGCAAGTCAAGTTATACTGATCAAGATAGCATTTAATTAATTATTCTTAAATAGTTCCTCTCTCTCTCTCTCTCTCTCTCTCTCTATATATATATATATATATATATATATATATATATATATATATATACACACACACTTTAGCTGAAAAGAGAAGCTTGGTTCCTCGCCGTTATGATTCAGTACATAGTAAGCACTATAACCATCCTGAAAATTCATTTATAACCAGTTTTACAGCATTTTCAATTTTCAACAAAATTGTTCAAGAATCATGGAGAAAGTGTCGAGCAATATTCGTAGATTTTTTTTGAATTATTCCTACTTGCGTTAACATGCTGCAGATTCTGCAACTTGAGAAGCGGCTACAGGATCAACTGGTTATGCGATGTGATCTAGAAAAAGCCTTGGGGTATGGCTCTTCTGTGGTTTGTTCCTCGAAAGAAAGTTCAATGCCAAAGGTAGCTGCCATTTAATGCTTTCCTCATCCTTTTCTTGGGTCTTTTTGCAACTGAACAATATCAATTACATTAACTATCTCATTATGTAAATATGTTCATTTCTGCTCAACTAGACAGAACTAGGTAACAACAAACACATTGATTGGGTTGGCATTGATTAATCCAATACCATAGTGTTATTATTATTTTATATGAGATCCATCACATTGAGTGCTTCTTACACTAATCAATTACTGTGCGGTAGAAAACTCTACAAAGTAATATTTTTAATACATTATGAGTGTAATTTCTGTCCTTCATGCTGACTCGTTTTCATAGACCATAAGCATGTTGATCTGGATTTGACCATGATCTAGTGAATGACTACTATATATCAACTTTGTAAGAGTAGATATTCATTCTCATTCTGAATTTGTCTACACTAGTCGAATTTTATGCAAATGCATTTTGTTGTATACTTAATGTGTCAGTTTCTGTTTGCTGATATAGCTAAAACTGCTTGTGTTTTCAGCCTACAAAGGAACTGATAAGGGAGATAGCCATTCTAGAGTTAGAGGTCATGCATCTGGAGCAGTATCTGTTGTCACTTTATCGCAAAGCTTTTGAGCAGCAAACAGCTACCTTATCTCCTCCTGCTAATGGGAACAAAACTAAAAAGGTTTTAGGTTCTGAACCAGAGTCACTTCATGAGTCAGCAAAACTTAAAATCTCGTCTAAGAAAGGAAGCTCGAGAATTCAATCTAGTCAAGCAGAGGTGCCACAGAAATGGACCACTGACTCAGTGAATCGAGATTGTGAAGTCAAGTGTCAGGGGAAGTTACTTGGTTCTGATGTTCATCGCAGCCATTCTTCGCTTTCTCACCGTGCTGTTTGTTCGGCTAGAATTTCACCTTCAGAGGAAAGTCTTGCTAGAGCTCTTGACTCATTCCATTCTCAACCTTTGTACCTCCACGAGGTAAGTGGATGTCAATCTTTGACTAGTATCAGATTTGGACCACAATTTTTGCAACCGAGTGACTGTTAAATTCATTTCCTAATTTTGATTCTGAAATTCTCCTTGTCCAGGAAGAACAAAATGCTAATTCGGGGGTGATAAGCTTGGCAGAATATCTTGGGACTAGTATCACCGATCATGTTCCAGAGTCTCCTAATAAACTTTCAGAAGATATGGTCAGATGCATGGGTGCCATATATTGCAAACTGGCTGACCCTCCATTGGTTTATCACGGCCTTTCGTCATCTCCTGCTTCATCTTTCTCATCTATGAGTGCACTCTCTCCCCAATATCTGGGGGATATGTGGAGTCCTGGCTATAAAAGAGAATCGAATCTAGATTCTCGGTTAATTAATCCTTTCCGAGTTGAAGGACTGAAAGAATTCAGTGGACCATACAATGTAATGGTGGAGGTGCCTCTTATTTGTAGAGATCGTCGGAGGCTGAGGGATGTTGAAGACATCCTACATAACTATAAGTGAGTTGCATGATTCCACCTCAACTCTTGTCTAGTGCTGCTGCTTTTTACCTGCATTGCTTTTCTCATTAGTACGATGCTAAACTTCTGCACTGCCAAGCATTACGAGTCTTAATTACCTGAGGCATAATAATAAAATTGAAACTCTTTGACAGATTAATCCTTCAGCGATTGGAGACAGTTGATCCAAGAAGGCTGAAAAATGATGAAAAGCTTGCCTTTTGGATAAACATACACAACGCCATTATCATGCATGTAATTTTTTTCTCTAGAGCTATAATTTTCTCCAGATTTTTCACTCCTAGCAGAAGAATATCTTGCACCTTCTAACTGGACTTTTGTGGACCTTCTCAGGCATATATAGAATATGGAATTCCAGAAGGTAATGTGAAGAAAACTTCTTTGCTCATCAAGGTACATAACAATGATTAAGTGAAAGAATGATGAATCAAGCATTGCCTTTTGCTTAGATAATGTGAAATAACATACACATCTTACAGGCAATGTGCAGTGTAGGTGGTTGTTCGACAAATGCAGCCATGATACAAGGTTACATTCTTGGGTGCAGGACACACTGTTCCGGGCAGGTAGGCCTCGTACTCTTGTTCTTCTTTAATTTTTCTACCTACAATGGCTGAGAAAGATCTTAGGATTATGCAGTCACATGTCCACCATAACTTCAATAGCTCATGCCCACAACCATGTCTTCATCTTACCCAATTAAATCTGTTCTTAGATTTACTGTTGTTCATCCATCAAGCATGTCAAAAAGCTGATGTAAACTGACTGAGGAATTTTATGTATTAGGAATATGTAGAGAAAGGAAATGCAAGGATTTGTATGCAGACAAGTGAAGCTGTTGAAACTAGGCACCTAAAGTCGTACATATCATTGTAGTATAAATTTATGCCTATGGAGTAGAACTTAAACACACAAGCAAATGTAATTAACTATGAATAACACATAAAACCAGAAGAAATAACAGAAGTTACAGATCCATCGAATAATTGGAAAAAGCAGGTGCTTTGAGCTTGGCTGATTAATTGTCATGAATATAGCAAGCTGGAATCTATACGTGTAGCACTCACATTCCTGCTACGGAAAGTCGATGATACATATAAAATATGGCCTGATCTTGAGGTATAGATACTGAGATTAACCTCCAATATATGGGAGAAGATAGATGTATAATTATTGTATCACTGTATTGTAGGGAACCTATCTATTTGTGTATAAGTAAGAGATATAGAGATGCTTAATCGAAAATAGAGAACTGGTCAGAGATTTCTGATCTCATTTTCCAAAAAATTTATGATCTAGTAGTAAGAATACTCACGTACAAGGGAGGATGGTAACAGTCACAGGCACATCTTCTATTGGTACCTGCCTCGTATCTGTACCTGTGTGTTTCTATTCAAAAATTCCGAACATTCCCAAATGAGGCTTATGGAGTGTCCTGCTTTCCTTGCAGTGGCTTCGGACATTGCTCTATCCGAGGTTAAAGCAGAAGGCCAGAGATGAGTGGCAAGCCTATGCAATTGAGCAACCAGACCCTCTTCTATACTTTGCGCTCTGTTCGGGAAGCCATTCTGATCCTGCGGTAAACTTCTTAATTGCATTCATCTGATTTTTTTATGTTTTCTTCACCGTTTTTTTTTTTTCCTCTTGTTACAGCTGAGTGATAAAAAATGAGCATAAAAATCATGTCATCTTTTGTGTCTTACGGATCATGATCTGCTTGATAATTACAAAGAGCTATTTACGAAATCTTTTTAAAATTGTTAGTTTATGTTCAACAAAATTAAAATTAGAAGCATTTATGTGTTTAGGCCTCACTCTTTTCATACTTGAATTTAATGGCTTCGTATGTATGATGCTGGCAGGTCCGAATATATAACTCTGATAGACTGTTCCATCAGCTAGAATCAGCAAAGGAAGAGTACATTCGTGCTACCGTTGGTATTTGGGAGGAACAGAAGATCCTTCTACCAAAGCTTGTAGAATCATATGCTAAGGACACAAAACTAAGCTCGCAAAGCTTGGTCGACATGGTTCAACGTTACCTTCCCGAGACTCTTAGGATGGCCATGCAGAGATGCCAACAAGGCAGATCGAAAAAGATCATCGAATGGGTACCTCACAACTTCAGTTTCAGGTATCTGCTCTCCAGAGAATTAGCATTTCCTCAGATCAACTGACGAATAACACGATGCTGGCTGTGAAAGAGGATTCGCATCTCTCTTTATTTTGTTTTTCTTGTACAAAAGAGCTGATGCATTTTGTATATTGAGAGGTTGCAATGCATCATCACCTGTGCATAATTCAGTTGGCCTTGATGAAATCCTGACATTAACTTTGGCATAGAAAGTAAAAAAGTATATTTGCCTTTTTGTCAAGGAGATGATTGCATGGCTTGTACTGACCAGTTCGAAAGGATGATGGCTTCTGCATCTTCTCAGGTGTTTCACTTGCTACTGGAAGTTACTCTCATCATCTTTCAGGATTGTTAATTGAAAGAAGGATATCACATAACAAAGCAGTTCAAGCTTTCACCGAGTCCAACACAGACATAGTAGACTCATGTTTCTGCTTGAATCAAAGGTGGAGAAGGATGTTTCTCCTTTCCTTTTCCTGGAGAATAAACATGATCTGATCAGACTGCAGGAAAAGGCTGCTGTGTTATGTGTTTTGGTTTGTAATCTCTTTTTGCAAGGATATGTTGGGAAGTCACAAAAGTAGGATTCTGTTTCCATATTTTTTAAAATGAAAAATGAAAAAACAATTTCTTAGAAATCCAAAAAATTGGGTTTTTGCAAGTTCCTGATCGTGTGTTTTGGCAAGAAGAAACGCCAACATCTCAGGATGATAAGGATGAAGAGCAGCAGCAGATGCTTCTCGCGAGTCGTGCTGCGCGTCTTCTGCCACCAATACCATAACTGCATCTTTCTTCCTCATCTGTTGACGTCAGAGGAACAGTAGATGCCGCCGCCGCCGATGGCTTCGACACATCTCCCGAGTGGCAGAAGCCAGCCACGAGTGCTAGTAGGTGGATTTGGTGTCAGTCCTTTGCCACTTCCATGTGTTGCAACTTGTACCTGCATCTGTCTCCTTGTGCTCGACTTTCGGACCTCTCCATGCTCTATATGAATACACGGAGGGAGAGAGTAACTCATCGTCGGAGGCAGAAATGGAGGCGGCGTCCGAGGGGGAGTCTCGAGCCATTGCTTTCGGTGAACAGCAGGAGGCTCTCGTGGTGAGGTCATGGAATGCGATGAGGAAGGTCGCAGCTGATGTTGCACTGAAGTTCTTCTTGAGGTTGCCTCTCTTGCCTGCTTCCTTCCATCTCTGTTCTTCGTCACCGCGTCGCCGGCAACACACAGTGTGTTCTGCTCTTGGCAGGGTCTTCGAGATCCAACCTTCAGCCGCTCGACTCTTCTCCTTCCTGCGCGACTCCAAAGTGCCGCTCGACAAGAACCCAAAGCTCAAATCCCATGCCATGTCTGTGTTCACCATGGTATATCTTCTTCCTTCCTTCCCTTCCCTTCCCTTCCCTTCCTTCCTTCCCCCTTTCAATGCCATGTTCGGTTGCAGGTGTGCGAGTCTGCGACACAGCTGAGGAAGAAAGGCAAGGTTTCGGTGAGAGAGACGACGTCGAAGAAGTTGGCGGGCACTCATCTCAAGGCTGGCGTCGTCGATAAACATTTCGAGGTTATTACTCATCGAAGAATCGCTCAAACCAATTGATAATGATTGTTAATTCCAAGCCAATGGGTTTTTTACGCAGGCGGTGAGGTCTGCGTTGTTGGATACCATAAAGCACGCAGTTCCGGAGATGTGGTGCCCTGAAATGAGTGCTGCCTGGGGAGAAGCCTACGACCACTTGGCTGCAGCTTTAAAGGAAGAGATGAGGCTTCTCACTTCTTCTTCCTAAGAAGTGGTAGCTTTGTCCATCCTCTGATGAATAAAATGATATCTTATATACAGGGTTTGAATATAGTCTAATAGAAGAAGAAGAAGAAGAAGAAGAAGAAGAATACCACTTCGGTAAGCTTTGGAAACTGAGTGTGTAACCAGAGATTAATAATGAATGGCTCCCTCGCAACATGCCGAGGGGAAGAAGAAGAGTCGAAGCTCTTCCCATGACACTCTCTCTTTGTTTCGCTCGTGCTCTGCTGCGAGTAAGCATCGTAGAGAAGGGCAAAGAAACTGTTTGCAGTTCTTGATTTCAACCCTCATCGATCCGAAACAATCTTAGCTTCATATGAATACGAGGATGAAGACGGAACATATAGCTTTGGGTTTTAGCCGTATCGTCTTTACGCAAAAATGGCTTCTGCTGCTGTTCTATTAACGACGGCACACAGAATCGATGATGACATGCACGTCAGGAGGGCAGGCGGAGGGCGGCGCTGGCCTTGGCGGCGAAGAGGCAGAGGTCGGGGAGGGAGAGGGGGCGGTGGGAGTAGGAGAGCGGGAGTAGGAAGTACAGCTGCCCGGGCTGCAGCTTCTCCCCTTCCCCCACCACCGGCGGATGAGCTCCCACCTGCATCGCCTCGCCGCTGCAGACGTAGTACCCCGGGCTCCTCGCGACCACGCGCCCCGCCGGTACCGCCGTCTCGAACTCCTCCATCTTCCCGTCGGCGCGTATCACCTTCGCCGTCGCCGAGGAGGACCACTGCGCCGTCCAGCGCCGTTGCTGCTGCTGCTGCTGCTGCCTGACCTTGGACGACACCGGCGCACAGTTCCCCATCACGTATCTCTCCCGGCTCGCGACGAGTTGCATGAGAGAGAGGGACGCTCACTGACCGCTGAGACCCATCAGTGGACTTGATATAACGCAGCAGACGCAACTGGATTCTCGCAGATTTACCAAACTAACCTTCGCTTTGACCCAAATCCATAACGTGCGAACGCCGCTACTTTGACCCCCACAGAGAATGCGCAAAGCACCAACTCGTCCATCTTTTTCCTCTGATCAAATCTAACGTTTCCGCGAACGATCTGTCTGCCCTCAAGTCCAGCGAGAGCTCAGCTTCGTGGTCTTATCCGACCATCAGGAAGCAGGTACGGAACGACAGCATCGAACAGGAGGAAGAAGATTGCACATGAGATGTTTGTGGAAAGGACGAGGACAATGATGCAGAGAGGGAGGGGAAGGGCAGAGTAGGAAACGACGGGGAGGGGGGGGGGGAGGGGTCTCTTTCTGGGCAGCTTCGGATGGGGTTGGCCTCACGGGTCACCCGTGGCCGTGACGGGTGGCTTTTTCCTTGAGCTGGAGCGCAGGAGGTCACGCCGGCCTGCTTTCGTGGAAGTCTCCTCCTCCGGCTGGGCATCTCATGTGATCCAGCAAAAGTGAGCAGGTCAAAAAGATCGGGAAGGGCGGGATGGTGACGGTGGTGGTGGTGGTACTGTTGATTTAGACGTCTCTTGCCCTCTTTCTTCCTTGCCGTAGAAGCACATCCATAGCTGGTCAGCATCCAGCACTCGGTACTCGTTTGTATTACTGCAGCAGTCACAGCTTCTCCTGATTGCTTTGCTATAGAAGAGAAATGAGTCGTCGACATGGATCGAGCCCAAATCCATGAGATAATGACAACAGAAGCCCATACAATATTCTATAGCCTCCTCAAGACACTTGCAATTGCCGACAAAGTTCTCTAGTATTATTGACATCATTTTTTACTTGTTTTTGTGTGGAAATTGGAAAAAGAAATCCCCCAAATATTTTATTTTATTTACAGAATTAATAGACCAAAATTTTCCGATTGGCTGCGTTGCCAAAAGCTTCCGATCGCTTCGACCTCATACATCATCCCATCGATTAATTAGATCTCGAACGTCCATCCTCGATCCACCGGTCGACGTCTGCCCGTCATGACCAACGAACTCTTTCACTTGGACGGTTCAGATCGTTCCGCCCGATCTTGCATTGAAGGTTTCCGCCTCCCCTTCTTTTACCTCTCTATTCCGGAATGGCGCTCAGATCCGGCGCAAACTTGCGCAGTCCGCCACCGCCTCTACTACACCTCCGCGCCTTCTCCTCCTCCCTCCCGCCGATGGGCACGGCCACCGACACCCCCGCGGGAAACACCTGTGGTGACACAACCCCCCCGCCGCACTGACCCGCGGCGCCCACCAGCGCGGCGCTCGCCTTCACCGCGAGCCTCGCGAGGTCCTCGGCCTGGAGTCGGCGCTTCAGCATCGACCGCGGGAGCGCGAAGTAGAGCTGCCCAGGGCGGAGCTCCTCCTTGGCGCCCACCCCGGAGACGAACGCGTCGAACTCCATCTCGTCCGCATCGCACACGAAGAAGCACGCGGCGTCCTTGCCCAGCGCGCCCGCGGCCGTCACCGGCCGCGAGTACTCGCGGAGCCCACCGTCGGGAAGCACCACCTTCGCAGTCCCCGCGGCCCCCACCACCACCGCCGCCGCCGAGGCGCACGAGCTGCAACCCCCCATCGCCGAGGAGAAAGCAATGCCGATTGAATTGGCCCCTCTTTTGCTCTCGATTTGAAATCTCCGTTGCCGTTTCGCTTTCCGTCGGGAGACGAGGCGCGAGTTGTTATAGGAGGAGCGTCACGCGTCGGCTATTTTGTCGTGTAGCGAAAACATGACAGCCCGGAGTCCGATGATGACAGCTGGTGACGGGTCGGGAGTGTCGCTTCCGAAACGGTCATAGCTTTCGAGAAAATTACGACAGATGGGATTAACCTCGAGAACTGAAGGCACCCCCAATGAAGCCTTGGCTGAGAGTTCCGACGAGCATTCTATTATATTGGAAATGGAGAGCCTACGTGTAGCTTTCGATAGACCCCTTACAGTAAAAGTCGCAACGAGATAGATGTACGCGTGTAGCTCGTAGGGAACGTTGTGCCAAGGTCAGTCTAGTAAATTAGTTTGAAAGGTGGTCGAGGTGTCATGTTCTCATGCCCCGACAGATCGACAGAGGTGTTTTGGTGTCGCCACGTGGGGAAACTCTATCTGGCACAGGACTCGCGTGGGAGAGTAGTCGACCACGTGGTTTCTGATGCCCCGCAAAATTACTGACTCCTCCCTGCCGCGTGTTGTCCTCACCGACAAAACTTACGCCTGCGCCCCACGCAGGCAATCGTTGCCTGTCATAGAACGACACGTCAGTCTTTAGCTGAAGAATTGTCAACGAAGTAAGGTGGGTCGGATACCCATGCGGATGCCATTAATTTTACATTGTAGTCAGTGCACTGGGAAGCGTGTAGGTCGCAGGAAATGCAGTAAGAGCTTGTGAAAGGCAGGAGATTGGCTGAGGTCGTTCACGTTCCAGCTTTCAAGAATTGGGTCGTAGAGTAGAATGCGGACGTGGCGTGAGTCCAGGCGACGGAAGCCGGATTCCCTGCCAGGCCTCCGTGTCGCCTCGAACGGAGACAACGTCTCCTCGGGAGCCACAGGGGGTGTGCGTCGGCAGACGAACGCACCACGTGGCCTTCAATGCTTCGGACGATTTGCCTGATTCAAATGGCCTCCGCTGTCGCCCCTCCCGCCGGCTCCCGTGTGACCGCGGCAGGTTTGGTCGTCGTGCACACGAGTGGACGCTGTGTACAGGCAGAGTTGGTCCATGTGGACCCGACGTGGTGGGCTCAGCCAATTACCGGGTCCCACAAAATGGTGGCCACTAGATTTTAGTTCGAATCTCTTAGTTGTCTTAACGACGGTTCCTTCTTGTGTTTAGCTTGAAGCTTGTCATCCGAGCCCAGCTCCTCGACACCAAGCTGACAGTCTCGTGACAACCTACGCTTACGGGTGAGTTTTCCCCCATCATCGGGGACGGCGAGGTGGCCATGCGGGCCATCGAGGCGATGCTGCTGACGGCGTCTACGAGACTCTTCGGGTCGAGCCGCCGGCAGAACGGGCGGGCGAAGAGGGATACGGTGATGGCGAGCCACGACGCGGCGTTCGAGGAGCGGGCGGAGGAGTTTGCGGGGGCGGCGCTGCTGCTCCACGTCGTCTGGTCGAACGAGCCCGACACGGAGTCGACCTCCCACATCATCCCGAACAAGCAGTGCACCGGGAAGGACTTCGTGGTGCCGGTGGCGCACCTCCTGTTCGTCGAGCTCTTCTTGCGCTACGACTCCTTCGAGGTTGAGGTCGGCACGTCCCCGCTCTTGTAATTTCTCTGCGGGGTTATTTTTAGCATACTGTGGCGTTCAGTATCTAAGAAACCACTAATAGTGTAGGTTACAGTATAATACACTAATTCTTCCTCGTCATATTCTATATGGTTTCTTTACTCTTCGGCTTGGTTTATGGACATTTGCTTAGTAGAGCTCCACTAAGTCAGTGGTGAACAGAGTCTGGTTTGATGAGGACACCGACAAAGGTATGAAACTGACCAACTTAATAAAGTCTCCTTTCCCTCACTAAACTAATCCTCGACCAAACAGATTGCATTGCTCGATGTCCAAAGGTATCGCCACTTAATCTCACTTCAGATACATGCATCTGAGGCAGAACCCAAGAAAGCAAATGCGAAGCACCGCATCTAATTCATGGATTCCGAGTTAGCAAAGCTAATTAACACCACCTTTCCAGCATGCTTTGTCTTAATTGTATCAAAGCTTTAGACACTGATTCATTTCAAGCATACCAAGAACAAGAAGGCAAACAACACTACTTAAACAAGCCATTAAACATTATGCTCTCCAGATATTTCATCCCTGAAAGAATCAATCATCTAACATGAATTATATTAAAGACTGCAGATAGTTCTAGTGTTCGTGAGCTCGTGGGAGATAAACGCAGGTCTGCTATTTGGATTTCTCATGACCATCGACAACAAATTTGTACCGACAAGGAATAGCTTTTGCCGGCAGCATTCAAGAGTCTGGTTCGATCACGAACATGTTTTATAGACTTGCATAACAGCGGTACAACAATTGAGTTCATTGCTTTCAGAGCAGACAAGCTCGTATACATAATGCAGAAGATGGCATGCAGCCTCTCAAGCTACGCTAAATCTTCTCTGCCACTTAGAACAGTATGAAGAGAGGTCGCTTGAGATCACCAGCATGCAGGTGTTGGATCATCAAGGGGAGGAGAAGGCATCATCAAGCCATGCGTGAGGCTCCCCGTCCTTGTCGACGCCAGGCTCTAGCTCACGCAGGGAATGGAGAGCAGTCCGGATCTGGTTGACGCGTTTCCGGTGGCGGATCCGCCGCAGCACGACGTCTCTGTCGAGAGGCTTCCGCTCGGCGCCGCCGCCGCTGCCTTCGGAGTCCGGCTTGAGGTAGAGGCAACTGGTGACCGGGCTTCCGCCGGCCGGAAGCTGGTTCTCGTCACCATAAGTGGATGTTAGTGAGAAGGAGGAGGAGGAGGAGGGAGGCTTTTGGGAGATGAGGAAAGCCATGGCGAATGCAGCGAGACTGGAGTGAAGAGACCGAGAAGACTGAGAAGGTGGAGAAGAGAAGATGGGAAGGGTTTATATAGAAAGGTCTCTCAAGTCTCAGCTGCCCGGAGGAGAGTTTTGGTACTTCGAGATTCGTGTTCGAATAGAAAACTGTAACACTGACCCGCTTATTCGTCGCAAACAAGCGGATTTGGTTCTTTGGTTGGATCCGTTATAAGATCATCATGTTGCATAAATCCAGAACCCTAATCACGCATGTTTTTGCCAATCTTGAAGCAAAAAGAACTGGTACAGGATGGATCAGATCAGTAGATTAACAGGTTACACCCATTGGGCTCATCTTATTACGACCCCTTATCTCAGGTTTCCCTTAGGCTCCGATCAAGAATTGCTCGATCATGATGATATGTGTAAGAAGAACGATGGCATCGTCTTTGTCACCTCCAAAGGTATCACGGACTTAATTAGTTTTTTGTCTAAGTTATTCGACACATTTATATATTCGTCCCAAATGATTAGTATCATCAAAATCTCATATAATCCTTTAAGGACCTACAAAAGATAAGACGGATTAGAGAAAATATTGCTCATCATGTTATCATTATATTGCTCATCAAAGTAAAGCTTCGAGTAACTCATAATCATACCTTTATATAATCAAGTTCCTTACAGGATTTCTCCTGTATGTATCGCATTGTCTAAAATTATTTTATTATGATTTGCTATAGTATGTCACATCCTAATGATATCTTCATTATATTGTGATATTTGTAAGATAAATTCATATTATGATCTCTCCATGTATGACCTCAACTACTACATCGTAAAGCCTCTATCACCTTTGATTGTGTTCGCTTATTTGTCAATCGACATTCGTCCACTCACTCTCGAGTCATACATAAACAAAACATAACTCTAGGATAATTCATTACCCAACGGCTCTCAAAGTCTATTAACTTTGTTGAAATTGGTAAGCCATTGTCTAGATCTTAGGCTTCTGCCTCCATTACAATCTCTGATGTGAAACAGCTTCTTTTGCTACAACTCAAATGGTAGCACTATAATATTTTTTTTTAGAAATACTTGCCTCCACGTCCTCTTGCCTCATGCCAAGGTTTTTTGACATTAACTTTATCTTCGTAAGGTGAGTCACATAAATTCCCCTACCAATTATATCGTTGAAATAATATACATGTGCTTCAAAACTCCATTCGACTTTAGTATCATACAATATAAGTTTGTTCTATTAGAATGAGAGACCGATGAAATGATATAATCTTATTTTTACTTATGTAAGAGTTCATGTCTTTGACCTTTATTTAAATGAAAGCTTTGTGTCTTCACTTTATATTTCATCTCCTATATCGACTCCCTTCATACGACTCAAGCACTTCACTAAGTTTCACTCAATTTACTCTACTCCTCTATATGCATTGAGTTGATAGTGACTTTCACACATACCATTTAATGGGTTAGTCCTTCGTTGAGTCTGATCTTTACATTGGATCTTAGTGTATCTTCGTTTGGTGATGCCTACGGTTGCTTTTCTACTTGATCTTGTAATGCATCTAGCATTATCTTGTGTAAGATCATGTGATAACTCCTCGCTACTTACCAGCTCCATTGAAGTTTATGGAGTTATTGTTTTAAGGTACTCCCCCAATATATGCAGTCTGTTATATATGATTTTTTTTCTAGAGAATCGTGACTTATCTCTCTGAAATATCTATCTCATTGGAGTATTTTTTTTTTTTGGCATCATTCTCTTTATAAGTTTTATAAACTATCATCCCCTTAGAATACTCCACCTTATTGAACATACTATATACTATTTTGTCACCACAAATGCACTTACTATATTACGATTCTTTGCCACTCCCGTTGCGCCCCTCAAGGCTTAGTAACATGTTGAACTTATTACACACTTCAGCCTCTTATAGATGTATCATTTTCATGTTGAAGAAAAAGTTCCCTTGCTCTATGACATCAAGTTTTGATCGTCTTGGGATGGTAATAGATAGTCTATCGTTTGCATACAAGCTCTTACATGAGTACTAATTTCTTTGAGTTAGTAATTGCCCTTACATTTGTGAGTTTTGCGCAACTCTTTTAGTCATCGAGTAACATATCCCTTTTTGTATGGTCTCATCCTTTATTAAGTATTTCGCTTGCCTTAACTATCGTTAAGTTTAGTTGTCAGTGTCGAACTGTAGCTCAAAGTTAACCATCTTAATCTTTATGTGCTGCGCATTCTTCCTAACTTACTTGTCCTCGTGATGTCTCTTATATAAATGATCAATCATTCCTTTGAATGTTAATTTAATATGCCCGCTTATATAAGAGATTCCTTTCTTTATATCTCTCTATCTGTTTCACTCAAATGGTCAAGCGTGTTGGGTGTCCTCAATGTAAACTCATTATGTCCCCTACGTTTTCATGTTAAGTATTTCTAAATATGTTTATCTTGCTATTATAACATATGTCATAGACTTAGCTAGTTTTGTTGAAGTCGTGTGGTACTCTTACGTGTTCGTTTATAAAATAATAACCTCATGAAAATCTCTTGTGGTCCTTTAAGGATCTTAAAAAAGAAAATAGGTTAGAAGAAGTGTTTAACTCGAAATTCTAGAAGTAAACCTACAATGCAAATTATAAATATAGACTTTACAAGCTCTGAATAATCACATGACAAAGGGTCCAATGTGATCGAGTAAAAGTCCCAATAAGTGATCACATGATATTATCATGAAATAAGACAATGAACTAACTCTATACACTGTCCTATAGGCTCATCTAACCATGTACCACTTGGGTAACTTCTTAGTATCGTACTGATCGACACTTCACATCATTCTATAAAACTAAAAAACTCCTAAAATGACTATTTGGATGATCTATTTTTGAATAATTTTACATATATATATATATATATAATTATATACAACTTGTATTTACAGATTTAAAATAGTTAAAAAATTAACTAAAGTGGGGTTATTAAATTCATTGCAAGTCCAACATGAACTATATATATATAAATATAATATGCCTTTCGTATATATTTGTCGTGAGACACGGAAAAGTTAATGGTTGGAAGCGCCGTTGGTGTAATGAATCGGCTCGATATTGAACCCACGCCTCAAGATTCGTAAAACGCCACGTGGTCTCTTAAGGGTTTCTTCCTCATGTGAAGCCTGCGAGCGAACGGGAAGCACCAGAGGGTGATCTTTCTTCTTTTTAAGGCGATCAAGGCGTCATTTAGTGTAGGAGGAGTGAGAAGAGGGTTTGTCCACCGCAGCCTTCGCGTCTTCCTCTGCGAGGCGAAGACGCCCGACGCAGCCGGGTTCGATATGAGGACAGCTGCAGTCTCCACCCCGTGCCCGGCCTCCGCTCTCTTCCTCCACCATTTGCCTCCTCGCTGCTCCAGAGATCCTTCTTCGCGAACCCGGCTCTCCATCAGGTTTGCTACTCTTAGGTTCTCGTACAGCCACTTATCCGGATCCGCGCAATGGGATTGGCTTTCTACATTTTTTGTTGAATTTTGTCTTCTTGTATTTTCTTCCTAAAAATGCGTGGTTTGGGTAATGCAGCCAGGCTACCGTCCAAGATCGGCATGGTGGCAAGACTAGAGGATGCTCCTCTCTTGGTTGGTCAAGGTTCGTGGTTTCTGGTCGTTTCTTTGTTGAAAGTTATAATGGTAGTATGTAGATCGAACCACTTTGAACCATCAAAGTGTGAGAACTTGTTTGTCTGATGAGTGGAAGAAGACTCATAATTAGGGTAGGCTGTCTTATATTCAGAAACAAATCTCGGTCCTTGTTGATTCTACAACATTCTTATGATGTTGAAGTTAAAACCATTTATAGGCTAATGATGATTGATATGTGCCATAAATTGATATTAATTTTTTAAGTAAACACTAGTGTTGAAACTATCAGAAAGCAACCAATGATGACGAAAAAGGCTGGAGATCTTATTTGGGCAAAGCTATGACAAGATGTTGATTGATAGATCAATTTAATTCCCTGTCCACTTAAATTAGCTACCATCTGCTTTTATATTGTGCCAAGATGAAAATTACTGAGTTTTATGTTATGTGTGAAACTAATAATGCACATGAATCTCAAGTTGAAGGCACGCCAAGAATAGTGATATGAAGAAATCTAGAAGAGAGATTATGCATCTTAATGTGACGGAATAAGGGCATTATGATCATACTATGCGAAGCAAAGATTCCATACACCAACCATTGCCATGTTCTGCTCAAGTGTTTGGAGAGAGTCTAAAATGGAGACAAAGAGGAAAGAAATATTGCACAGCCATGTGAATAGGCACATTTATTGGGCTACGAGATCACAAGTAGCAGTTCAAGATTCAGGATTAAAAGATCAGGATCGAGATTAGTTGAATAAGGGTCCAAATTTGGATTCTTGGCATATCTGCCGAAAAACATACCAGAAGTTCAATGTAGCCCTACTCCCGCATCTGTGTTTCTTCTACCTCTTTCCAGTTCTTTTGTGTTTTTAATGTTTCTCGAGACCCTTCTTTTTATTTGCTAATGGTTTAAGGATTGATCCATTCCCCATGGTTGACCCTAGGTAACACCAAAGCCCTTAAGAAAGATGAAATTAAATAAAATGGCTGCTTCAGAGTTTTAAGAAATTCCTTATGATCTTGATTGATTTGGGCTAATCTGAGACATCCCCAGGTGATTCCTAATTGATTCGGCCATACCGATATAGTTTATCTGCTCCAGTATTGATTTTTTTTTTTTTTTTTATACTTTTTTTGATGTGATCTGGATATCAATTTGCTGATTCCTCAGATATTGTATCTGCTATTCAATAATAGTTTTTGTGGTGTGCCCTAAGCTCCTTAAATCTTATGAGGACCCATGTTCTTAATGTGAATTACCTCTTGAACAGCAATGCTTTGGTACATGGTTACATGAACAAACTAGGTTGTAAAATTGTTTGCACCTATCATGTCATGCCAAGATGAGATAAAGAACTTTCTTTTGCTTCTAGTATTTT